AAATTCCATTGGGTGAAATTGAACGTTGTTTAAACAAGTGAAGGAGCGAGGTATATGAAGATTTGCAACAATATTTTGTCTGAGCGAGGGGAATCGATTAAAGATTTATTTTAGTGCGATCTCGCCTACAACGGAAACATAGAGAATGTTCGTTTTGTGGTTGCATTGTGCTCCGTGTGCCTAATTAAGGAAATAATGCTAGTAGTGAAAACTTGTATAGACATTCCGAATGAGTTGAAGAGACGTCCAAGTGCCCCACCGTCAGCGGTGAGTGACTTCTATCCTATTTTAGTTACTCGTAACTCTACGTTTCGTTATTTAAGGCCCGTTCCCCAGTTTCCTTGCATTCAAATGCGACTGTAAAAACTCATGCGTCGTTGTCGTGGGACGAGCGAGTATTGGACATGATGCGCGACTTTGAGAAGAATCGCAATCGTAGCACAAGAAAGAAGAGGGGGGATGTAAGATAGAGCACTTTGTGATTGTCACCCTCCATACAAAGATTTACTTAAGGTTTTAACGAAAATTATTGGAGATCTGACCATCGATTCAGTGCGGTTGGAATCAATACTAACAGATTTATACGTTTCCTTGATGGTGCAGTTAATCGAGGTGACACAGCAGCATAATCCAAATTATGAGCGTGGCTCAAAAGTTTTGCCACCAATCCAAACTGCTCAGAAGATTACCGTTCCTGCAGACATAATTGATATGAAACTGAGGTAATCTTTGTTATTGTTTGCTGCAAATCCTTTGGAAGCTTTGTCTTTAAGGAAGGCGAGCCTTGCTCTCATGGAGTCGGACAATGTCAAACAAAATACGCATATTGTAAATTGTACATTGCACGAAAGCACCGCCAAACTAACTAGGTAACGATTTGGAGAACGAGTTGAACAACTGATATAGGATAATCGAAAATACTTTGGACTTTGTTAGCCTGTTAGATTGATGTACACTTAAGCCACGATGATGTCAAAAAGGCTGGCTCTTGCATTTTTACATCTAATATAGCGGTGTAGCAGCTTCCTTAAGACTTTGCCATTCTCGTGGAACCAACATTCAAGCAGAAGACGAACGTTGCGTTGATTTTCTGTCCCTCTTGTCAAAATGTGACTCATACGCATATTAGAGCGAAAAGATGGTAATTGTTTTAGTCTGATTTCTCCCAAAATTTACCTTCTAATGTTTGTTTAGTGGAATCGAGAATTAGGTCATCATAGAGCAAATACTGTGAGCAGTTTGTCAATAGTAAGATAATAACAGATTTTATCACATTTAGGTACCAACGTCGAGATCTTTGATCTCTTTGAATTTGAAAACTGCTTATTTTTCACTCTTTTATCTCTTGCATCGTGCGAGCAAAATAGTACCGTATCAGCTAAAGGTAGAGCTGTAACTAGGATAGGATTACTGAAGGGTTTGCTCTAGGGAAAGACACTAGTTGCTAGAAATCCTGAGCGTCCTTCCCCTAAATGTTCAGTGGGTTGTACAGCGGCAGCAACGATTCAAAACTGCAGCTTAGAGTGGCCAGTTTTGGGAAACTGTTCTTTGTTCAACGGATACTGCTAATGCAGTATCAAGTGCCGTTTTGATTCTCTTAACTAATAAAGCTGTCAGTTGTTAAAACATTGAGAGGAATGTGAATTAAGTATATGCATTTGAAGGTCATTGTTGCACTTGCAATTCAAACTTGACTATTCCATCTAAATTCCACGAAAGCACAAAAATAGCTCAAATCCCTATTACATTCATATTAGTAGCAGCGTCAATTGCCGTAATATAGGTACGGAACATGTGAAATAATGCTGAGTTAGATTTGTGGCGTTGATGCGTTGTAGCAGTTTACAAGAAAAGTTGCTGCCGTTATGAATCTATGGTTCGATGCCTTGCAT